ATCTTAATCAACATAATATTTGGAGGGCACATAGCAACTCAATTCTAAGTCAAACACCATACCGCATTTACTTGTCCTTTTTTCGTGTTGCTTTCCTAAGGTGATTAAACACTAGCAGGATTTTTTGGTCCCATAATCGCCATCCCTTCTAATTTTGGTACGTAGGATGAACAAGTAAAGATGAGAAATGCTTTTTATGTTCTTTCTCTGTTACACACATCTGAACCACCTCAGTTTCATCAGGCTGCTCGTTTTTTTTTTCTTTTTTTTTGGGGCGCAGGAAGGCCAGTAACTTTCTTGTTTTTGTCATGGAGATCCAACCTTGAATTGTCATGCTTCATCTCTTTGTTAAAATCTGGAAGTGATTTGGAAGTTGAACAAGTCCAAATGCATCAAATATAGCAAGCCATAAATCTCAAGCATTCTATCTTTTCATGTATTTCATCAATAGAATCTATATATACTTTTTATGCATACTGATCTTCTTATGCTCTCTATCCTCGAAGCTGAGCCATGGATGCTCTCCCGAATTAAGTATGTAATAGCCCATTTTACCACCTAAACAGTGATTCCCATTGCTGAGAAAGGACATGCAGAAAGCAAATATATAGTTTAACCTGGAAACATGCTTCCATCAGCAATGCTGTTCATCAAATAATAAATCCATGGTTTACAGGGCTAAAAAACAAAATTTTACTTAATGTTCTTAAATTAGACTAGGATGAGCAAGCTGTGAATTCCAAACTATTCAATCATATTAGAGAGAGAGAGAACATTAAAACTAGGCATTTCTTATTCATTGAAGATAGGACTTAAATCAAAATTAGAGCATGACAAGCCAGTTTACAACACAAACAATAGCATCCAATCATCTCTACTTCTTTCTGATCAATAAAGATTCAACATTGTGACATACACAATCAAGTGTACAAAATGCATGTCCATCACATCAATCATGAAAATCATCTCTATGCGATCGTACTCGTCATCCTACCTATGATTCAGGAGTTGGCAATCATATAGCAAAACAAAAAGGAAAGAAAGATAATATGTAAGAATGGAAGAGACACTACGCAGATACAACAAGATACAGCAGGAGAAGAAAAAATGCAGCTATCCAAAGAAAATCCTGCAGCATTTTCCTCAAAAATGTAATATAGTGATCTCAATCCATAAAGCAAACGAAAAACTTTTCTTCCCTAAGTTGACAACAATTAGCACAAACAAATTTGATAAGACACCATAAGTCAGTTGAAACACAATCTTTATGGTAAAAGAAAAATATCCAACAAGACTAAACTCACCTCCAGCTAAAGAGAAGTATACAATGGCATCCTAAGAAACAAAGCAAGAAGATATTCAAATTAAACGACAGAGTATTCCCCAAATAAGGGTCAGAGAAGCAACCTGAAATGGTAAAATCAGCTAAAAGGATATTAAACTGTGCCGATTATGGTTGAAATTCTTTTTCTGTCCAAAGTAATAGATTTCAGTTCAACTGTTGTATGCAAACGAGAAACAAATGAGAAACAAATCACAACGTTTGAACTCTTATCCATCCAATTTAGCTACCTCAGCTACAAAACACAATATTCTAGATTCCCACACATTTGAAGGATAAAAGCACTAACCAACTAAACTTACAATGACAGGATTCCAGAGATTGTTAAACAGAAACAACTCGGACCTTCTTGAGTCGTTTCATGCCAGGAGAAATTGTCCTTAATATCTTTCGTCCCTTCTTCTTCTGCTTCACCTTCTTGGTTGCAGGAGGCATTTCTCTGATGGGACCTGGAGGTACTCCCTTTTTGAGTGCACTACCTCTTGGAGTAAGAGAGGGTGGTATCCTTAAACTTTGAGGCGGCAATGGACTATGTGGCTTCCAGATCAAGTTATTCTTCATTGCAAACCTCACTTTCTTGGCACTCTTTGCACTGGCATCTAGTCCATCCTCTCCTTCAGTGCCCACCTCTGGATTGCAACAACTATCTGCAGTTTTAGCTCTCTTTCTCTTCTTTTTCATTGCGACTAGAGGCAAGTCATCAGAAGACTTTAAGTCATCATCAGAACCTTGCTCAGCAGCAATCTTCTCAAACTGGAGCTGAAGATTTGAAATCACAGAGTCGCTGAATTCCAAGACACTTTCATCATTCTTGAAAGCAGTGGTTGATTCATAACCATTAGCAGAAACTGCATTCGCATTTTCCAAGGCATAATCGTTACCTGCATTGCAGTTTTCTGAACAATTAGCATTAACTACACCATTTTCTTCAATCCTATAGGTATAGTCCATAACCCTATCCTTGTCCTTTTTCTTCTTCTTAGCTTTTTTATCGCCTGCTTCCTTCCCCTTCTTCTTCTTCTTCTTCTTAATATTCCCTTCTTTTTCAACAACAGGATCAGCATCTTCATCCTGTGATGCAGCAACTACTTCCCTGACACCATTATCTATCGGGATTAACTGAGGCACCTCTTCTCCATCATTGTCATCACCCTCATTAAACTCTGGAATGGCAAAATCAATCTGTGATGCTTGCATTTCCCCCTCCAGCTTCAAAAATTCTTCATGCAACCCAAGAACCACCTTCCTATTCCCCTGAAGACAGTCAGGAGATGCTCCCACCTCATAAAGCCTCCCAGAAAACCCCATCTTCAATGCGATTAACCCCAACAACATATCCCTAATTTCACCATCTTTCTCATCAACCCCGTTTTTCTTTCGCTGCAACAACGCCCTTCCTCCGTCCAACAAAGTATCAAACACACAACTCTTCACTTTTCCCACCAAAACCTTATCCAAAGACCTCCCCATGACACTAAAGAACGGCTTAAACAAACACTGCACCACTTCCTTTCTCGCCAGCGGAACCTTAAATCCTATCAACTCATCAAGAAAAACAGAAACAACGTGATAATTCACCCCATTACCCAACAATTTATCGTTGGCCAAAAACCCCTTTTCCTCCAACACCTCAACATATTTCCCCAAATACTCCAAATCCCACTTGTATTTCCTCATCAAAGAAAAAACCCCATTCACAAACCTCCTAATGAGCAAGTAAAACTTATCCAATCTCAAATGATCAATGCCGGTCCATTCACGACGAAGAGTTACCAAAAAACAGCCAAAATACTGCAAAGAAAGCAAAGGGTCAAGCGTAATTAGCAAGGAAGACAAACGGTTGATGAGTAAACCTTGAGCAGGAGCTTTATCCGAATGCCAAAGGCAATAGAAAAGCCCCTTCCACAGCCTTTTCATATCATCCTCGGGAAGTTCGGTTTGAGAGTCCGACAGCCAAGCTTGAATTAGCTTGAGGGATTGGGATCTGATTGAGGCGTTGCAAGAGGCTAAGTGCTTAATCAAGGACGGCCCAGGTAAGGCCGAGAGGGTTGCTAAAAAGGGTTTCGGCTTTGGGGTTCTGGGTTTTTTCTTCATGGTGGAATTTGGACCGTGGGGTTTTGAAAGATATGGATCTGGGAATTGGGAGGTAGAAGGGTTGAGGTAGTTGGAGTGGCTCCGAATTGTGCTGTAATCGTGGATGCAGCGGGTTTATAGGGTTTTAGGTCGTGGAGGAAGCAGTAGACGTGGTTCCCGTTTTGTCCTTGGCTTTGATTTTCTGCATTTCCTGGGTCGCGGTTTTCAGACCGGGATCGTGCATTCGAAGCTAGAGAAACCCTAAGAGGGCGTTTTGGGGCGAGGGCCGATGGTTTTTGCTATTTTTACAGGCTTGGAAAATTTGCTATCTAATCCTTAGACTATTTATGAAGTTTTAATATGGTGCGACTATTGGTCTACAACAACTGTTTGCTCCTCCAGCTGCCCAAGTTCACCGTTAGTCCTGAAGAATTGAAAAGTCGAGCCGTAACACATTTTGGCGCCTATTGACTTGTACCTCATTAACTACATTAATTACAATTTACAAGTTTAGAACTGGTTTTTTTTTTTTTTTTTCGATCGAATTTTTTCAAGCGCTCGTCAGTACATTTAAATCAGACCCAATCTAACATGACAATTATTATCTTTTCTTATACTTATATACTTTTTAAAATTAATTTTGTTTTATAAATACAATTAACATCCAAATGCATTCAAATTACTCTTTTTTGTTTTAAATGAAAGACGATTTTATTAATAAATGACTATAATGTCTAGTGCCCATCTTTATGCACTCTTTCACATCTTGATATATAAGATTTCATATGCTGCTGCGGTATTGCCTTTTCTACTAAACCAATACCTTTTTTATTTTTCAGAAACTCGTGAATCCAAACAGGTTAAAGTATCGAATTTGAACAATTAGTACTATGTAATAGAAAAATTAACAAGGTTTATAAAGTTAATAGTAGGATGTTCTTTTGTTTTTCTCATAGTCCAAGATAAACATTATCACAAGAAAATCATATGTCAACTTGAAAAAGACAGCCACCTCCAAATTTTTGAAAGCTTTGTTTGGATTGCATTTTTCTAAATTTTTTATAAAAAAATTACGGTAACGATTTGATATATGTGAATTAAAAAGGTGATTGAAAAATATGTTCACAGAAAACGTAGCAATTTTTCTTTAAAAAATTTCAATCCAAACACAAATTTTTTCCCTTTTTAGAAATTTTCCACCCTTTACCCTCCTTTCCCCTAAATGAAGTAAATTCTTAAACATGGTAATCAAACCCTCCAAACAGATACTTTTGCATACATAACTAAGAATACATCATGTAGTACATATGTTTGTATTAAACAATTTTTGTCTTGCATTTCACAAATAATACTACTTTAATATGTGAAAAAACGCCTAATTTGTGACAAAGTACCAAGAACATGTATTGCATTTGTTAAACATTTACTCATACTCCCATAAAATTTTGTTAGAAATTTCGTATCTAACAAAATTTTAACTAATTTAATATCTTGGTTCCAATAACTTTTAAATATTAATCACATTGTTAAGGTACAATTTTACATTTGTTATTTAGTGAAACTCGTTTCTTTGTGCCAAATTTTTTTAATCTTAAGTTGAACTGCATTATCTGGATTGGAGCATGCCCGCACCGGATCCAAATTTCCAACTTATTTAGGTAATTAACTCAAAGGTTATCCCAATTTCCCAAAACAAGACATGAAAGGCAGTGGATAAACAAGACATGAAATGCAGTGGATAATGGTGTTCCCAGAAGATTGAAAGAAAAAGAGGCAGAAAAGGGCACTTCCTCTGAGTGAAGAAGTCATTGGACTTCCACAAACATCATCATTCTTCCGCAAGACCGCTCCTTCATCTGCGTGTCTGGTTTGTCTCTTTTCTGTTTGATGTAATGCCCCACCGAGGTGTTAGAAGCAAAGCTCTTTTAAGACAATTTTTATTGAATTTACGCCTGCCATTTGTGAATGAGGTTACGTTCAATAGTAATGATAATGCATTTCGCTACTTACAATGGCGATTGATGACTACCAGCAAAAGGGTTCAAGAGAGGAGCAAGAGAAAACGTGTCCATGATCTTGAGGTGGCTCTGGAAAAGCACAAAGTACTGTCCAAGATTCTATTTTTCTTTGAAATTTTAAAGCAAGAGCCTGAACAAATCGTGCCCATTAAAAGTTTAGATAGGTACAGAAGGCAAATTAACCTCCCTAAACCCCATAAACTATCAGCTTTTCTTCGGAAATCGCCTAAGCTTTTCGAGCTGTACAAGGATCAGAGAGGGGTCTTGTGGTGTGGGATGACGAAAATGGCTGAGGAATTAGTGGAGGAAGAGGGAAGAATTATTGAGGAGAATAGCGATAAGGCTGCTGAATATGTTACTAGGATGTTGATGATGTCAGTAGATAAACGACTTCCATTGGAGAAGATTGCACATTTTAGGAGGGATATAGGGTTGCCAGTGGATTTTAGGAGCCGTTGGGTGCATAGATATCCTGAAAATTTTAGAGTCGTGCGGCCGTATAAACCGTATGATGAGGGGGAATATTTGGAACTTGTTGAGTGGAAGTCTAGTTGGGCAATAACAGAATTGGAGAAGAAGTCAGGGATGGTTGAGGGTTTGAGTGGTGGCGATCACGTTCCAGGGCTGCTTTCGCTGTCGTTTCCTATGAAGTTTCCTCCTAATTATAAAAAGGTCTTGTCACGATATTATCCACAAATTGGGAATTTTCAGAAGAGAGAATATTTGTCTCCGTATGCAGATGCTAGAGATCTGAAAGCTGGCTCACAAGAATTTGATAAGAGGGCTGTGGCAGTAATGCATGAGCTACTGAGTTTTACAACTGAAAAGAGGGTGGTAACTGATCATTTGACACACTTTAGAAGAGAATTTGTGATGCCTCAAAAGTTGATGCGATTGTTGCTGAAGCATTTTGGTATCTTTTATGTTTCGGAGAGGGGGAGGAGGTTTAGTGTCTTTCTCAATGAGGCCTATGAAGGTTCAGAATTGATAGAAAAGCATCCCTTGGTTGTTTGGAGGGAAAAAGTCGATAGACTTATAGATTACAGAAAGAAAAAGAAGAGAATTGGGACTGTTGAAGTTTTACATGATATAGATGATAAGGACCTGTTTGAGAGTGAGTCTGAGAATGACAGTATCTTGTTGGATCATGAACAGGAGGAGACCATGGGTAATCTAGAGGATGCTTCACCTGCGGACAGTTCAGAGATGGAGATTGAAGAGATTTATGCGGCATACCAGGACTGAAACTTCACAAGTTTATAGGTTTCTTATTTTTTTTTACTATATTTTTGTTTGGCTAAAGAAATCACATTGGAAAACATATTTTTATCACTTCTTTGATCGTGCATTCTTCAACTACTTGATGCATGTGGGGAAGCTTTTCCATGTAATATATGTCGACAGATTTTGAAAATAGCAAAGGTTGAAAGCAAGATGAATAATGACACAGAGAATACTACTCTTGGAGAGACCTGCAAGTTTTATTTCTTTGTAGTTTCAAAAACATTGCACACACCTGAATTTGGCTTTTCGGCTTTGTTGGCATTACTGAAGCAATCCTATTTTGGGCTTTTTTTAATAAACGTGCAGAAAATAAAATCTGCCAAATAGTGTCAGGATCCAATATTCTAAATCCTAATCGAAACAAATCTAGAAGACACGGCAGATGAGAACAGGATAACAAGTGACAATGTCATGATACAAAATGGAAAATGGGAAAAATTTTGGCTGATGAATCCTTTATCTGCCAGATAAGTGTTGTTTCCTGTGATTTTAATTTGAATTGAAGTTGTGGACAGGCTGAATACAAACACCATGTTACAAGAGATGCCCATTCATAAAAAGTTGTGAATTTTATAGTAACAATTTCCATAGGCAACTTCGAGCTATGTACTTAAGAATCGGGAGACATTGTCAGATGATGAACATTGGGCAACTTTCTTGAATGTTATTAAGCTGGGGGCTATAGAGTAAAGCACTAGGCAGCACTAGCTCAATCACTTCTTCCGTGGTTTTGCTTGTTTTTCAAGCTGAACATTTTTGGTTTGTTAGTTGATAACTTTCTTTGTTCACTTTTCAAGCGGAAGGTTTTCTTGAGATTCTTATTGTACTAAAAATTTGAACATACTTGCTTTCCTATTTTTCAGTGCTTATGGAAAATATTATCTCCCAGACTCTTGTTATTAAAGGAATCAATTAAAAGAAGGAGAGATTTATGAGAAGATAGTGGTATGTTTATAATCTTTCTCACAAGGAGAATGACAACTCGAAGATAAAAAAATCAATCTTATAGAAGGTCATAAACTTACCTTGTCATGATCCTCCAAAGCTAGACTCAATGTTAGATTTCAAGTTTCAATCCTGTGTAATCCCTTCTTTATGATGTTCACACTTGCTATGTATTTGATGTATTTTTCCCAATCTGAGGAAGGGTTCTGATCTTTTCTCTTTTGTTTTCAGGAATTGTTCACTCAGGAACTTTAAGTTTGTTAAAATGATGAAATGACCGTGAATGGAGAACAGTCAACTGCATTATTCAATGCTACTCTCTTTGCAGAAAAGTTAATATTTTCTTATTTAATTCTTTTGCCATCACATTTTTTAATTTCATAAATTTTCAGGTACTTTTGACCTCAGTCCTCATAATTATCTTCTTTGTTCTCGCTAATCTTTCTTTTCAGCTATAGCATAAAATAACAAGTGCTGTTTTGTGCATAAAAGTTGCCACTTTGCTTGCCTGCACTTACTAAAGCATATGGTGTGGACTATTTTCTGGTAATGTTTATTCTTCTATCACTCTAGTAGTAATTGGAGGAGCTTGCAGTGGCAAGGTGTTATGTAGTCTGTGTAGGAATGCATAAAAGTACTGGAAGTGTGCAGACGCTTGCTTTACTGTTCGAAATGTCTAACTTTTTGACTCAGAGATAATTTCTAACCAAGTGACTTGTTATGTCCAGATATATATGAACTTTTGTCGAATTAGGATGCATCTAACCCCAAGAAAGACATCTTCTTTGCAAACAGGAGCTTATATTAAGATACAGTTATTTGATAAATGCTGTTATGGATTGGTTTTCTTTAATTTCTTTTTTCATCTCCAGGAACAGGTTTTTTTTACATCATTAATCGGAAATCACTTTGATGTCACAGAATGATTTCTTTGAACAATTTTATATGCTTAAGCTGCCCTTTTGCTTACCCATGCAATTTCAACATTTCCTCCCCTTCCTTGCCCTACACCAAATTATTTTGTTAATTAAGAGAGAGGGATATGAATATTCTATCTCATCTGTTACTCTTTTCTTATCTGACTTGGAAAGCATGAGCACCCAAAAGTATCTACCCTTGGACCTGATTGTCACGAGTCATTCATCTGTTCCACTTTCTTGTCGTGTGATTGCAATAGATTCTGCTGCCTGTTTTCCTGGATTTCCAAATGGGTGTGTGCTGGCAGAGGAGTTGTGTGTGCGATAGTTTCTCCAGGATATATACTCACGTGGAGTATAGTCTTGTTTTTGTATCTCTGTAATAGTACTAAACGGTGAAATTTCCAGGGTAAAGTGCTGAATCCACGAGAGGAGACTATATGGTGCAGGGTATGAGGCGCACAGGACTTCAAAAGGCAATTTTGTTGCAAGTTGCCGACTCAGGCTGCGAAATTACTCACCTCAGCTTTAATATGTTACCATTTAGCTCCGTCCTTGGGTCTTAATTGGCCTCCAGCTTTTGTCACTTTTAGCACAGAAGTCCGTAGGGAAGAGAATCTCGGCAGTTTTGGTTGGTGTCCAGGAGTCCAAACTAGAAGTACACATTGCAAATCCTCAAAACAATCCCCCCCCCCCCCCCCCCCAAGAAACCCCCAACCCGCACGCGCACACATACACACACAACCACCACAAAAACCGTAGACGAAGAAATAGATGGCGCAGTGTTTTCAATTTCTGGCTCTGGAGAGTGTGTGGGTTGCATAGAGATTTATTATTTTGCTTGTCATTAATGGCTTTGACCTTGAGAGTAGACGTCAACGGAGTGGGGATTCAACCGAATCGACTCAAGGCCTCCATATTTTCTTGGGCCTTGTTCTGTGTGTATTAATTCTTTTAAGTAACCTATTAATCCTATGAATCACAACAATATCGTAGTAGGAGGATGACGCACACTTTGTATTGGTTAAAGCAACTCGGTGAGTTTGGGTCCGGGTCGGTAGATTCTGCCCTTTAATGTTGCTATAACGTTGGATTGTTTTGACCCGCACATAAATTACAATCAAGAAAGTGATTATTTGCTATCTTACTTCAAGAAATGCCTAATGGGTAGACATTAGGAGCTGTTTAACTCTGAAGAAGATGATTAAGGAAAATACACGTAATGGCACAAGCAAGGTGCAAATCAGAACTAAATATGGGAGATGTTTTTTCTGAGGCTGGAGTCTTTCCTATTGTCCTATTGATTTATACGGCAGTAACATACGGCCCAATGAGTGTGAAATTCAACAAATTTGCGTAACTTTGTGACATGAGATGGTAAATTACGACTCTTTGGAGTTTCTCAATTCAATTCTTAGCTTCCCCCAACGGGTTCAAGAACAAGAATCCCTTTATGTCGGTTTCTTTGCCAACAGCCCGACACTCAAAAACATCGAAATGGAAGGCATTATAGGCCTAGCCAAAGATCATCCCGAAACGGGGAAGGGCGTCAGAGATGGCCTGGAAACAATCGACTTGGCACAATGGTTGACCATCAAATGGGAACGGACACACAAGTACAAATGTTGCTTGCTGGAAAAGACCTCCTTTGAAGCTTGAATTGAAGAGGTTCGTGAATATTACTTCTTTCTCCACACACATACACACACCCACACACACGATAATACTCATAATAGAGGTAAAAAAATTGGAGCTCTCATCTTCCAATTCAGAAACAGTCTTGGTTCATACCAGTATCGTCCTTTTTCTATCTTCAATGCCTATCAAACACAAGATTATGTGTCGTACACTTCCATAATGCGCCTCTTCCTTCATTGTAGTGTATGACATGTATTATGTTGTGTGCTAAAGTTCCTGCTTGATCTAGGAATTAGTAATTCCTGACATTATTTCTTCATATCTTGTGCTCGTAGTGTTTGTTACCTCGACACATTATGCATATCAACATCAAGAAACTACATTGTTTGTTGGTATACATGTACAACCTATGACCTACCAATCCCACTTCATGCCCCAACCACCACCCCCCCCCCCCAAAAAAATTTCGGGCCAGGGCTAGAGTGGTGGGGTTTTGGAAGGGTAGAATGTGTGTGCGTGCGAGCATACGTGTGAGAGGGGGAATGCCGATGGTCCCATGTCAAAACAGGAAGATATGAAAGTTAGGCCAGAAGATGCATTGCATGCTTCCTTAGAATAAAAATCTATAGTAGGATAGTTGCTTCATGGTGTTGAATCATTTGGTTGTATGTGGTGCAGAATTTCGTAGATAAGAATTGTTTTTATTTTTCTTTCTAAATAATCTGGGACAGCTACGATTTGGACCTTCAGCTTTTGGAGGAAAGCGAAGCGATCCAAAGCAAAGTTTATCTATCCTCATCTCCAATCTCGATGTAGTATTCTTTAATTGTATCGCAAGGGGTTGGATCAGGATCAGTGCACCAACCTTTCCCTTTCTAAATATTAACTTGATTCTCTCCTGTCTTTGTCAAGCTAATATAACTCTTGAGCCTGAGGGCAGGGCTTCTCTAATTCTGCTTTTATCATTTAAACCAGCACATTTCAAGGATCTACCATGATAAAGTAATCATATCATTTTGATTAGGCATCTTAGGATCGATCACAGACATTGAATGCGGTCAACTTTTTACGTTCATCCATGTTTCTTTTTCTTCTTTTCCTTTACTTGAAAAGAAAGAAGAAAAATTCATGCCTATCGTTCGAAGGCTTCATTCAAACATTTTTCAGGGCTAAATTATGGCGCCGCTCGATTAAGTAAATCCCTGTTTGATCACAAATCTGACCGATCCCGGTTGTTGTTTTTTTTGTACTGTCCAACTGTCCAGCATATGATATGGCCACTCGAAGGAAATTTTCAAATGATACCACCTATGTAGCTAATCAACTGCAATTAATGTAATCTTTAGCCAATTGCCAAAGGAGGAGGGGAATAAAATAAAAGGAAAAATAACATAAAACTCAAGTGCGTACCTCGAAAAATTCAATGATTTGTCAGGTACGGATACAACAGCGAAGAGGATGATGATATAGGATTTTCCCATAAAATTGGGATCAATAAGAAAAGATTCGAAGTGTAAAAATAAAGAAGGGAAAAAAGGAAAAAGGAGAAAGAGATGGATTCCAAACCATTCTGGATGTGAAAAAGAAGCACCAACTTTTTCTCTCTTCCACAAAAAATCCTCATATCCAGCAGGACCTGCATGGAATATCTTGTTCACAGGGCCTGTAACTTCATTTGCATGCGTCCAAGGAATGCCATTTGTTGTTGGTAACCTAGCATATACGAGAAAACTGTTTATCCTTTTTGATTCTTTTATGGGCCCTCCCCTTTTTGATCTTCCAACATATTTAGAATAAGGAAAAACACATAAAATATTAACACATCCTCACGAACACAAACACACACACACACACACACACACACAACACAAAGTAGAATACTACAATTGAAAGCATAAATTTATGGTTAAATGGTAATGCTAGCAACAGCTCTTTCTCTCCCACAATCTCTCAACACAAACACATGCACACACACCCTACAGCCTGTCATTGTGAATTATTAAGAGCCCATGATTAGGATTTTATTAGTGAAAACTGCTTTGTTTTTTCTCTGAGGAAGAGAAGAAGAGAACAGAAAAGCAAGGTCTTTGACATTGGCCTCAGAATAATAAAGGGATTGTTGCTGTTGGTGATTCATAACCATCTGTTTACTCCAGAGGGCACTTCGATTCCATCGTCCATCATGTTTTAAAGAAATGAGTTGTTGAGTCTTCAGATGTTTCGATCAGTGCTCAATTTGGATGGTCGCACTAATATTTGAAGCGGTTGGATTCATTGGTCGTAGTTTGTTTTTGCGCTTTAAAAGCAGTGGCATGAGAGTGGAATGTCTTCAATGACACTTATACTGATAGAGCGATCCGCTTCCTTTTTATCCCAGGTACGTTATTCTATCCAATGCATGTGTACTTTGGAAACTTCTGATCTCAGGATTGTTTCAGGAAAAAGAAAATTTTGCAGCTTTATTCTGTGCAAACCATGTCAAGTTTTGGACTTTCTTCTTCTGGAAGCTTCAAATCGTATAGTTGTGTCAGAATTCTCAAATTCGAATGCAAAATTTAGTTCTTGGAATGCTTTTGCGCCATCTTCATTCTTCTCCGTGGATAATGATTTAGGCATAAATAGGAATGGCTAGTCTTGGATATGTGTGTTAATAAGACCAACTACTAGAGTTTTGTTTGTGAATTGTGAATGATTTACTTCATCAGAATTTGGTGAGATCCCATCTCCAGCATAAATATGGTACACAGCACATATGAATCCGGGGGAAGATAGCCAATGTATAGCATGAGAAGTTAATTAGGGTCATCAATTCTCTTCAACTCCAGCATTTCTCTGCATCTTTGCAGCCGGTGTTATGTAATATGAACACTTGGAGGTTGGTAGGGGGGAAGCAATTTGAATTAAGTATGGGTTTCTCAAGGGCCTATAGCGTATGACCCTTGCAGAATAAGCAAAATTCATATGTCCAACCGAGAAGAAAAAATGTCGCAGTCTAATTTGACTTCTTCAAATGCGTGCCATTTTGCATGATGATCATACGTTCCATTTGGTGTTTGGTGGTTGGAGGTTTCTAGGCCTTGTCTCCACGTTCATATAGTGGATTTCATCATACTCATCAATTACTGGACCCAAAGAGCATTCTCAAATATCTCCTACTTTAGTAATAATATTCTGACTCTTCAAAGCCATGGTTGTATTACCATCTTCAAAAAGGCATTTTTTGTGGGGGAGCAGAGGAAAGAGGCCACAAAGAACTTACAAAAGAGAGAGATGCAACGAAACAACTCCATCTCTACTTGCATTTCTCATTATCAGCATATTTCTACAATCAGCATGTCATCCTCAAACCCTCCCTTTTTTTAGAAGCTTATACACTTACTGCTCTGATTCTTTGATGACCTAAATGATTTACAGGGATGGCAACCAAATTCCAATATGCAATAAACCCATTAGCTACTGCTTCAAACAACTCATTTGCTGTAAATCAAAACAGCGACTGGGGATACTCCCGAGAAACTGGTGCAAGGGGGCAATCAGAGGAAAGTGCTCTGCATCATTTTAAGCACTCTATGGATCATGAGATGTTCGATTTACAGAAGATAGAGTCCATCAAGAAGACAATGCTATTGCATGAAGATATCTTTCAAAGACAGGTGCTTTTCTCATCCTTGCTAAGCCCTTGATCATCTTCTACACCAGAGTTTTCAAATTTATTCTCTCCATAACTTCAGCTACGCATTTTCCAAAATTGATACCTTCGGCTAAAGGGATTAATAAAAACCAAAAGAATCTTGATGAATTCAACCTCTTCAAGATGTGCTTGTTTTCTGCAATATTTTATTGGTTTCAGATCTCATCAGCAATATAGTATTTGAAACATGCAAGAGCCAGCTACTCTTTGCCCCCTACATTGTATGAGAACAAAATCACGTTTCCTTGCAATATTTTTTTCAGAAGTTCATGGTGAGCTTGCATTGACTTTGATTAAGTAATTCCAAGTATTATCTTGGGTTCCTAGAGATATGCTGCACAATTCATGAGATGGTACAGAGTTGGAACTGATTTTAGCTTAAAAAAAAAAACTAAACTTGCAGGTAATAGAGCTTCACCGGCTGTATAATCTCCAAATGAAGTTGATGTATGAGCTAAAGAAAGAGATGACGTATAAACAAGGTCCGTTAGCAGGAAAGGATCCTAGCAGTTCTCAATTTTTAATTTGCCAAAAACAAATGCAAGATATCAGGTCCAATCTCCCTGTACATGGATTGACATATGGTTCAGCAGAAAGGAGTGCTAGCAGTTGCGGGGAGAGCCTGAGAATGCCAAAACTATTCAACCTCGAAAGGGTTGCTGAGGAAGGTCCCTCAACTAGCATTCAGCCCACTGAACAGGATCAACAAAGGCCTAATAGGTA